GTCCTAATTACATCACCGTTAGAGTCATTCTGTATTATTTTATTTGTCATTGTTTTTGAATTGCATAACATCCTGGTGATTGAAAAATTCAATGACGCAACGTTTTGATCTATTGGTTTGAACTTATTTATTTGTGAATTTGGCTAACCGATGGCTGGAAGTTTACATTTATTTATGTGCAGTTCACGGTCTTCCCACTTATTATGTTTTATTGAGCTTATTCCGCAACTTCATTGGTGCTTTACTGACAAATCTTGCTCTATTCATTTTTGTTGTTTTCTTGCTAAAGCTAAGCGGCTTGGTCATCTTTTTCTGTATTTGGTGTCTAACTCGATCTCAGTGTTCTTCTCTGTACATCTTTGTTATAGGAACCAATTTTCCTAAATTAAAAAGTCAAGAATATGAAAATGTGCCTCGACCTAATTTGAATAATCTGTTATACTGTGATTTTGATGATGCTAAAATGGAACTTTGTCTCTGGCAAGGTGATCCAAGAAATGATAAAGCTCACTGGAAGCATGAATATATGACTACGGATTTACACAATGGAATAATATGTCTGCAACCTAGGAATATACAAACTTATCGTCTTCGAAAAATATATAGTGATCAACGGAATTCTCTAACAGCACGTTTGTGGAGTGAAACAGTCGAACCTGTTATTACTTCCAATGAAAACAGTGATTATATGGAATATTCCTTGAACAATCCTCAAAATAGTTTGCGTTGTATTCAATTTCAGTATAAGATCCAGTTGCACGATTCTAATGTCGACCCGCCTACTAGTAACTCAATTGATAACGCGCTTATAAATCTTAGCCTTCTCAAACATTCTACTGGGTGAGGAATTTCAAGACTACTCATACCGACTCAAATGAATACTTAATTGTTTTCTTTATTTTCACTTCTTATTTCCTTATTTGTGTTCCTGTTTAGGAAGTCCACAAAGCTGCTGTGCTTTACTTCGAATGTTTTAGAAAATAACTCATAAGGCTCCACAGCTTAAAGGCTTCTCAACTGATGATATATTAGTTTAGTGATATTAGGTCATTTGACTGATTGTTGTTCGGTTACCAAAATTAACATGCATTGAAGAGTCGATTACTAATGACATTGCATGTGTATTTTTAAAGGTTACATTATTTTTACTTCTTGCCTGCATCATACATTTCATATTTTTCTCCTCAGATATTCAAGTTGGTTTGTGTAACTTGATTCCTGGGCTAGATCCAGTGAATTGTACTTATGAACAAAAAAACCTGTGTAAATGGAAAGACGATCCACGTGATGAAATGGCGTCATGGAAAGTCTACTACTTCTCTGACTATCATACACATGCTATGTGTATGCAGTCGAACAAGATATTTTTTCCATCCAAGACACCTAGTCAATCAATATTACCAACTGTGGCTGTTCAATCAATTCATGAATTTTCAGCCCGTTTGTGGAGTGGTCATGTGTTTTATGATCCTGACAATTCAATAAGATGCTTAAGTTTTCAGTTTATGGTCACCACTAAACACATTGCCAAAGCAAGGCTTACTTTAATGAAGCATTCTTCTGGGTAAGAAATATTCACCTGAATAGAAGGAAAATCAGTTCTTCATCTTTCAACTCACTTTATTGATACTTTTCATAATACACGAGAAATACCTTATATTTTTCCTTCTATGTTTCTTCCGAGTTGCTAACACTTTTATTGTAAATCTGGATTCAAACAGAATAATTCTAGGTTCCCGAATATAGTAGCAACTGCTGCAAAGTTATTCAATTTCTCAAGTTGAAGATATACTGATGATGCAGCAATTTAGTGCTTCACTTTAACTTGAAAATTACATTTGTTACTGTCATCATATTTTCATTGTACAAAATCTCTTCGCGTATTATCAGCTGCTGTCTGTTTCAATGATTTAAAATTTATTTTATTATTCAAGCCTTCCTTTTTCTCATCTCTTTTGCTTATCCCTTTTTCTTTAAAAACGACTTGGTTTCGATTACATATCTTTTAGTTACGGTTAATCTCAATAGTGTTCACTAAGGTTTCGTAATCTGTTGAATTTTATAGGTGTAATATCTCGCCGCCCGGATATTCGATATTTAAAAGACCCTGTCAGCTGTAGTTTTGAAGAGGGCAACTTCTGTGGTTGGAATGATGATCCTAGAGATGTTTTAGCCTGGTGGCAGGTAATACACCTTCCTGAATTTCATACACATGCTGCTTGCCTACATTTGAGTACTAGTCCATTTTTTGTGGAGTCTGGAGATAAGTTGATTGTAGAAGGTTCAGCTCGTTTATGGAGTGGTCAAGTACGTTCACATCCAACAAATAAGATACAGTGTCTTGGTTTTAAATATATCGTCTTATTTAATAAGCGTCTTCCTCACATACGTTTGAATCTTATGAAACATTCTACAGGGTAAGCTGCTTTTTGTTACGTATTAACGTCTATTTGTGCGTGTAGCGGTTTTAGATAAACTAATAATTTGTCTGTAGTTAGTATTACTTATAGCTGGACTATTCACACTAATTACAAATAAATCAAATAATTATCTCTCTCCCTTCCAAAGACCTGGGTTAGTTCCTTTAATCAACTGATTACCTTCAAAATATAATTTAAAACTGAAAATTCACCTGATTTCCAAGTCTATTGGTTCTTTATCTACTTTAGATCCTTTATTTATAATTGGACAATTATGCCGATTTTGATTGGTCAATTTTAAAATACCAAGGTTACCAATCAAAATGAATTACGAAATCCACCTACATCCTTTCCAAATTCATTTTCCATTTCCATTTATTATACCTTTATTTTTAACTTACCTTTTGAAATTCGACTTGGCTTCATTATTGTGCGCGATTGTTGATTTTGACTTGTCAGTGAAATATTCTTATCTACTCTGTTAAAATAAAGAGATTGACATGAATGAACTTTATTTTCAGTTGCATTATTAATTCGACCGAAGTTCAATTATATACGTAATCCTTTAAATTGTACTTATGAAGATGGAACATTATGTGGATGGAATATGGATCCAAGAGATGTGTTGGCTTTGTGGCAGGTGGTGGATATACCTAGTTTCAAGACAAAAGCTTTGTGTCTTCTACCGAATCCAGATTTATCACTTTATCAAGATGTTTCTGATTTGAAATTTGAGACAAATATTTCAGCTCGTCTGTGGAGTGGTCATGTTCGTGTTAAAAAGCAACTAAAAGATCATGAGATACGATGCCTGCAGTTTACCTATTTCATACCATCAAAAATAGCGCTTAAAAGTCGACTAACAATTATGAGACATTCAGATAGGTAAGATCTGTTATCCTTATCAAGTGCTACTCCATACTCATACTGCAGTTTGGTGATTGTTCGTTCAGTAATTTTTATGTGAATCAGCAAGAAAATATGTTGTCAGTCATAAAAATTTATTATGGTTTTCGGTTAATAATATCGTTTTTACTATACATACGTAACAACGGTTCAGTAATCTCTAAAGATTTCATTGCAATGATCTTGTGGTTATTGGGAAAACTTCTAGTTATCTTCATTTTCATTCAAAACAGATGTAACAACTACTGTTTACATGGAATTGTATTTGAATCATAAGAGAAGTAGTTGTTATATGAACATAGTATGTAGACAATGTAGAAAGTGAATTGAAAAGCAAATGATGAACGGAGCCACCTTTAATCATTTTACAGATGCTTATTATTATATTGTATTTGAAGAAACTCTCAATTCAACTAATTACTGAATTTTTTCTGCTGGAAAATTGGATGAGGATCTTCAGTTTTATTTCATGGGTGTTTCAAATGTAGAATATGCGATAATGACTAACAACTCTGTCTGCTCCTCATAAACCACCCCAATTACTCCAAAAATAACCTTATTGTGTGAGACCGAAATATATCGGATTTGCATCGAAGCTAATTCATTTACATATTGATTCAGTGATTGTCATTAAATAAGCAATCATAGTGAAATAATCAGTGAAAGGAAAGTAGATTGAAAATCAACCAACTAAATACAACTGATATGCACTGAAAGTTATCGAATAAAACTGTCGAAAATGTGTTGAAATTCAACTAAAATCACCTTGAATCGATCGGTATGCAAAGCAAAGTTTAATTTTCTTTACCGTGCACTGTTCTTGGAGATATAATATGGCTAACATTTGGATAGTTGGAATAACTGTCGTCTATATTTATTCTTTTCATTACCTTTCCATTTCTATTCTTTAAAATGAACCAGTGTTCCGTTAAATTAGTGGAGCCATCTGGTTAGATGAAAAATTCCATTTATTCCCACTTTTATAATTCTAAAAGTGTTTCGCATAAAAATGTGCCAACATCAAATCAGTGTGTTTAGTAGATACTTAAATTCTGTCATTCTCATAAAATGCATGTCATTAGCCAATTAAATAGGCTTTAGTTCTATCACGCATTGATGTAATTCATTCATGCTGATAATGATGATAAATGTTTATTTTATTGTTATTGCGATTTAGACAATTTTTGGTTTGGTTACTCAATATAGGTTTATAGTGCTTCTTCAGTTTATCGTTATGATAAATCTAAAAAACAGCACTGTAATTGATCGGATTGGATTTCTACCTGACCGAATGACTAGGAGTTGTTGGCTAACCGTCTCTGTTGACTTTTTTTTGGCGTTGATCACTGTATCTAATCATGACATTTACCGCTGCACCGAAATACCTCATGTTTTCTCAGATCAGATTATTTGACTGGATATATTTAGGGGCATTTAGGATATTTGTACTGTTATGTAATTTTATCCCAGTTTCTTACTCGTTAATGTGCAACAGCTCATTTCAAAGCAATGAACTAATTAAAAATTCGTAAACTTATAATTGTGCATTTTATCTTCCTCTTATCTCTTATTTATTCAAATCCACTTTTATTTCCTTTGAGCGGCTGAAATGTATGTTATCTGAAGGTTTTACATAAACTTTATTGCCTTTGTATCTTGCTTAATTGATTAAAGGCAATGAAAAGCGTTTCAATGGACATTCATCTATTTCACCTGCAAATTGTGATTTTGAAAAAATTGGAATGTGCCGTTGGATGCCCGACCCACGAAATAGTGAAGCTCATTGGCGAATCGAGCATTCAAAAACTAAACATGGTTTAGTGAATGGAATTCTTTGTATGTCTTTATCTGTACTTCAAGCGGACTCTGAAAAACAGGAGAGATTGATTCCATTTGAAATCTATACTAGTTCTACAGATGTTTTTTCTGGACGGCTTTGGAGTGATAAGTTTCATCGTCTGAAACCACATATCGATTATCAATGCTTAGAGTTTTCTTACATGATCGAAAGTAAAAGCAAAAAGACAATACAGCCATCTACAGTAAATTACAGTCGATATATTCCTCAGCTCACTCTCCTTCGACATTCTTCAGGGTAAGATTGAAGGAGAAGCTTATCATCCGGCTGTTTCATTTTTAGTTTGTTCGAAGTGTTTTCGTGTGTTCTACGCATTATTATGAGTATCAGTCTTTGAATTTCATAATGGATGTGTTTATTCAGAATTCTTGTCTGTCAATCTAAGATGGTTATTAGTACATATGCTCCTACTCTTGTTATTTATGTGCAACGACTCAGTTCAACTGATGGTTGGAATCAAGGAAAACGTCTTGAAATATAACGATTCATCATATCGAATGATAGGATCCGATATTCATCAACCTTGCGACGGAATTTCAACTTGTTATTGTATCATTCTAATCGGATTAGTTTATTTCATAGTCTTCATCCGAGTAACATGTAAAAAAATACATCTTGCTGAAAAAAATTCAATGTCACTCTTTACTGTAACTTCTTGAATTTTTTTTAGTAATTCAATCAGTATTCATCTCTGGATTTTTTTTCATTTAGTAACTTTTTATTATTTCATATTACTATAAATGTATTTGAGTATATTGATAATTAATAATTTTCGATACAGAAGGTGAGCTGTATCAAAAGATTGATGTCTAATTATATATATATATATATATATATATATATATATATATATATATATGTATTGATATGATTATTAATATTATCAATTCTTATCCTTTATTCTTTGACGTTTTACTTCCATTTTCAATATTCTAATATTCAATCTTTTTACTCTTCATCTCTGTTGGATGATTGTCGTTGTTTTGTTGTGTTTCTAACTTATTCATTTATTAGTTGTAGTTAAGTGTATTTGAATGTCCTTTTCAGGTTATCTAAGGTATAGGGATTTATATCGTATTTCATTATCTTTCTTTCATCTTAATTAGGCTTATCACTGAATCTTTAGATTGTTATATAATTTGTTGATACTGTATGTCGTTTTACGATGCTCTCTTCATATTCACTGTATGTGTGTGTAATTATGTGCTGTATGTACGTGTATGTGTATCTAAGAATGTGTTTGTTTATGGTCGTATAGGTGTTGAGTTGAATGAAGTCAAATCAGTCTGTTGATTAACATCGATAAGCAGTGTTATTCGTCATGTTTTATGCAATGGAAATTATGCTGAAGTTCGGTGTAACTTCAGACAGTTCCATACCCATACGTTGTTAGTTTGATATTGTGATGTTTTGTATGTACGTATGTTTACGTATGAATATGTGTGTATGTGTACTAGTTTCTGATGTAAACTGCTTGTCGCAAATTACATCTGGTTGTGTGTTTGTTTAACGTCAGGTTATTTACGAAAGGTTGTTTACGAAAGTGAGAGGACGAAAAGCGAATGTCCAGCGCTATAACCGGGTTGGTGGATATGAAGGAAAACCCTGATCCCAAACCAATGGTGCACGTGGGTTACGGTATCCTGAGGGAACAAGTGACGTATGAATCAATCGTTGGTTACCGGCTACCATGGGACTGCATCTCCTCACGATGCTCCACTGCCTTGTGGGTTAGACCTTTAGGTCAAAGGCTCGGGGTGTGGCCCCCCTAAGAAAACCACCTGCTTTGGTTTGGGCACCCGGGCACTATCACAGCCCTCTCGCAAATAAATGAAATGAAACATTCAATTATATATTCTCGTTAGGTTATAGACTATTATATGCTTAAATTATTGTTTAGCATCGTTATGTAGCGCCTGTATCTGACTACAAGGACCTATAACTAGTCATTCGGTTGCATAGGTTCATTCCATTCATAATTACTAGTTCCATCTATAGAATTCAACCAGTACTAAGAAGTACTTGACATACATAACATTGGATATTACGCAGTGATCAAGCAATTGCAATCTATTCCATCTGTTACCAAAATAATTGTGTTACTTTATCTAGTCTGTTGGGATTGTATTTAAACCTATTACTTATTTTTATCCTGATTCATGCTGACGTTACTGATTTACATAATACAGTAGTGACATATGATCGGTGAATATTAAAGAGAAATAAACTAAACAGTCGGTTTTTACTAGTGGAGCCTTAAATATCGGTTGAATACTGATCGATTACATTCAAATTATCCAACTAAGATTAAATAGCTAAACTTTGGTACAGCTCAAAAATTCATAAACAAGAACAGTAAATAGCAAGCAATCATTTAAGTTCAACTTTTGACCATCCTTTTATTGCTTGGTTTAAATTTTTATGTTTCTTTAGACATCCTTATGAGGTCAGATAAATCAATAAAATAAACCTGAAAATCCAGTACATGTATTCAAAAACTCTTTATTATAGAATAAGACACCTTAAAATCCTTTTTGATTCATTATAATGCCTGAAGTTAGGTTTTTTTTAAAAGAAATCTTATTTACATGTAATGTATCCATTCATTTATTTATTATTATTTAATATTTAAAGTGTATATGGAACCGGGTAGACGGATGACGTGTTATTTGCATGCCTAATTGCTCATTAGTAAATAGGTCAATTATCTATCTATTTGTTTATTTCTGCCGCGTAATTCTTATCCTAAATTTTGTTAGTTGTTTAGCTAAATTTATTCTATTCTATTTTTGTGCCAAAGCTTTTTCCTCGGAATCCCTATATAAATATAGCCTGCTAATGAATTTTTCTAGTGATTGAATGTTTTGTCGTTGTTGTTGTGATATTGTTTTTATTTCATGTATAGTAGACTGAGTAGCTTTTCACTAAGAACTCGTAAGTTAAAACTAACATAATGGTCTGATATATTTTTATTTATGTACGTAGTCTTTGTAAATCTGTAACAACAAAGTATAAAATTTATGTGTGTGAATGTCATAAGTCTTCCAGATTAATCTGTCATGCTGACTATGACGATGCTTAGTTACCTTCTAGTTGTATTCGTTTCATTAACCAAATATGTAAATACTTGTTATTACTTTAGAGCAATGCAATTTGTGAAAAACCTGCCTTTTAATATTCGATTATCACCACTACAGTTTATAATAAACTTCATAATTGATAAGATTGATAATTTATCATATCCTAAAATATTACATTTCTATGTTGTTATTAGAAGCATATAGTTTCAATGAACATGTAATTTATTTGAGTAGACTATACACAGTTACCTGTGGAAATCTTTGGAAATTAAGTTTTCATGTAAATATAGCATTCTAATTTGCGTAATAGTTGTATCTACTGTTTTTTTTACCTACTCTAATTCACTCTTCTTTTTTTTGATACTGACAAAGCGTATACCAATATTTTTGATTTCAATTATTTACACGATTCTCTCTGTAACATTGTGAATCATCTTAATTATTCTTAGTTTTTTGTTTGATTGGAATATACTACTCATTTGATGAATGAGTGCACATTTGTGTTTGTGTGTGTGTATGTATGATGAAACATAATGTCCATGTTTCACTTATCTTTGATCACCACTTATTGTCATTATTAACCTATTAACAGTATGTATCATATTTCATGATACGCTTTTATTTGTTTTCACAAAACCCACACTGTAAATATTCCTTTTTTCCATATATAGTGCTTGCTCTCAACAAGCTGAGCAAGTTAATGGAAGTCTTGTTATGCAATCACAAAATTGGTAAGCAGTATAGTGTACATAATCATATATTGTGATTTAGTAAAAGTGAGTTGCTATGGCAAACTATTGCTGACAAGAGTAGTACAGCGTTATGAAAAATGATATATGTGGATATTCTATCTAAATCATCATTGGGTTTCTCTTCAAAAGATTACAAGGTGTGCAGTTTACTTTGAATGATAAATGTTTTCTTATTATTGCTCATGATCATAAAGAATTCATTTCATCATAATGTACGTATCTACATCTTAAGTTTATGCAATCGGTCAATCGTAAGCAATGTAGAACCTGACACAAATTTTCATTTAATACTATAATATCACGTTTGCTCCGCATAGAATTGTTATTATCCGTTCAAAAGTTCTAAACTGTTTCTATAATTTCTTTATATCAAACTGTATGGTTAAGACCTGTCATTTTTACTTTTACATAAAGTTTGTCTTTTATAGTCTACTTGTGAACATGCACTTGCCTCTTTGCTTATTGAGTGTTTGTTTTGCGACGTAATGTGTGTGCTAAAATTTTGTCTGATGCTATATACATATATAATATCTCTGTAGATAAGATAGAAATAATTACAGACATCTATATTCAGTACTTTTACTTATTTCTAAATAATCTATGTTTACTGTCATCTTCCACTGAGCTTTATTTCTTTGATCAATTACTGTTCTTTTCAATATATATTTAATTTTCTAAAAAGAAGTCGTCATTCGTATAGTTAGTTTTATCCTTGACTTATTACAATTTCACTAATTCATATTTTAGATCATGCACTAAAAAGACTGTAGATGGAAGAAAAGAATCATTATTGTGGTAAGCTTAAACTACTTCCCATAACCAGATAAATAAATAAAAAGTGTGTCACATAAATAAATAATCCACTATCAAACTATAAAGTTGTTTTACAATATTCATTTATTTAGAACTAGATTTTTTGCTTATCATTTAGTTTTCCTTCATTTTTTTGGGGGGAAAGATACATCATAACCTAACTGAAACCAATTACCATTTGTTTTGTTCATTAGCTAAAATTATTTAGCCAATATCATCATATTACTTTTATTTCTTTTTCATTTATCTATATTTTGTTTATATTGTTTTAAGGTGTATTAGCTAGTGCTCTGTGTTTGTTTTGCTTTTGAAAAATATAAATCATTTAAATGGTTGTAAATGGTGAACTATACCACCGAGTCTAATGTGTGAATCACCTCAAAATCATGACGCATTTATCAGTATATGATTTGAAATTAGTGTTGTAATCAAAAATCTGTGTTAAATTTAGTGTTTTCAGCACTAAATCCATATCGTGTCCCTAATATCTAACAACATAAGTCATTCATTTATTTTTCTGCCTCGTGGTTGGTTAAATCGTTTAAGATCCCAAGATAGTTCCGCTGTTTAGGTAAACTTTACCACTAACAGTTTTTTGTTTCATGCTTAGATAACCTCATTTTATCAGTACACCGAAATTGTCCGCTTTGGATTTGTTTAATGTTACATGCGAGAGGTTTTTCCCCCTCATTCTCACTGCTTAATATGCTATGCAGTTACTTTGAAGCTTGGTTTCTATTTAAATATTCGTTTTTCTTCAGATTTGAAATCGACAAATACATAAGTTCTAGATTGCTTATTCTAAACTAAAGGAATTTTTAGCGTTTTTCTTACGTTCAAGTTGAGGAGTTTTCTTGATTAGAATACTAGTAACTAAGTAATACTTGAAAAAAAGTGAATAAGCTTAGTAGTTAGTTTGATTTCGTCTTTAGTTTATTCTCAGTGCTTGGTTACATTGTACTTCATTGTTCAAATTGATGGATTTAAAAATTCATCAGGAAGTAGTTTATTGTTAACTTTATTTGCTGAGATTTATGGATTACATTTTTAAGTCTGTTGATTATAAGAACGAAACTTTTGATTGCAGTAGATAAACAGTTTACATTGTCTGTTCACATTATCATACTAATTTTGTATGTTAATAGTTAAATTTCAATGGAGTGTAAATGATTGAAATTCGACACAAAATTGTTGTTAATTATTTTCCGTTAGCCTACTTGGATTCTTGTTTTAGGTATCCATTTATATCACCATTCCTAAATCACCAACAATAATGTTGCATCATTTTACCGAAAGATAGTTATATCACGTTTTTTACTCACACCTTTATTGAAATATTCAGGTGTGACTGATGCTTTTCATATGTACATCATGATAACTACACTGTCGACTCACTATGTGTGTTTAGGTCTTAAAGAAATACATATTTACTTATTTCTTTGATCATTTATGCAAATGTGATTTGTTTTTTTCAAAAAAATTTCTGCTTAGAATCCGGCATTTCCTCTAGCTAGATACTATTTTTGGTGTCGATGCACAATAGGTAGCTAATGATTGCATTTTTTTAACCTAACTTTGTTTGCTGTGTAGTGGATTTATTTCTTTCCAAGTATAAAGTATTTCATCATATGCTATGCACTTATTTTTCGCTCAGATTTCTTCTGTTATTTTGTTTGTATGAATAAGCTACCATTTCAACTAATCACTTAGTAATGTCCATGGATGTTAAACGTATCTTGCAAAAAAAATCATCTGCTGTGTTGTTGTACATCCGAAAATTTAAATTGCAGTAAATATCTTAAAAGGATGTTTAGGTTCTATGTGAAAAATTGAGATAAAGCTTCATTATTTCCAAACGATTTGTCCGCCAAATGTTATCGTCTATTACTCTTAATTTTGTTTTGTTTACTTGCAAAACCTGGTTCCGCTTTTTTTACACCGATAACATTTGAATCATCTTCAAATTAGAATCGCTAAAACCAACATGTTCTACCTAAAAATAGACGACTGTGTGTTATGGATGATTTTTTCGCATACGTTCAAACGATTATTACTATTTAAACAAATGAATTAATTGTCTAGTTTCGCGAATTCTGTTCATTCAGTGAATCACTACAAATAATTGGAAAATAGATGTTTGAAGATTAGAATGAAAGTAAATTGGGATTAAATGTTATTTTTTCAAAATGTTAGTTGAATCAACAAAACATCAAGGAGAATATATAGTAAAGCTCTTATTTATGAAGTTATTCAATTATCTGTTTCAAAAAAAGCAAAATGTTCATAATCGTCTTCATTTGATACTTACCATTAAAGGATTCATATTTGATGCAGTCAAAAATAGTATTCATCTGCTTAATAAAATGATAATTCTTCTGTAGTTAAAAGCATGAGTCGATTGAAGCTAGACCACCATGGAAAACCTGCAAGCACTGGACGGCCGTTTCGTCATATTGTGAGACTCCTCAACAGTGCGCATCCACAACCTTACCTCGTGAGATTCGAACCCAGGACCTACCAATGTCGCGCCAGAGCGCTTAAACATTAGACCGCTGAGCCGGCGTCCGATGGTGTTTATGTTCAACTCCAACCAATTCACAAAGTTGAGCAACCGTTCACCAATTGTCTTCAGTGAGTTGATATCTCACAACATACGTGGTTTGAACTTCACTAGTCACTGCTTCTCACTAGAACTCCTGAAATCACCTCTCGAAGTCAGTCACTAGTGAGCATATGATTATTATTATTACCAGAAAGGGGTTTTTGTGGAAATTTAGTATTTTCATAGTTGAGTCGCACAATAGGACGAAACGACCGTTCAATGCTTCGAGGTTTTCCCTGGTGGTCTAGCTTCAATTGACTCACGCTTTCAACTATGAGAATACTAAATTTCCACAAAAACCCCTTCTGATAATAATTTTTTCATAGTTAACTCTTTCTATAATTTTAATTATTTCAATCATTATTATTTATACTGATTTTTCTAGTGAAAATGAAAAATTATGGACGTCAGATTATTCATTTCATACTCAAAATGAATTGTTATCCTCAACATCTTTATGGAAAACAATTACTCTATCATTGATTGATTCAAATGAACAAATTATAACTGATTATAAGGTCAATATTTAATTTATTTAATATTTAAAAAAAAATTTAAACTGTATGATTTTATTTAATTATTTTTTGATTGGTTAATTATTCTCCGTGTTTTTTTTTCTTCTTTTGTATGAAATTCATGTCTAGTTCATGATGTAACGGTAAAGTAAATGTAATTAATAAATTTAAGGATAGTATTTAATCTCCGCTTAGTACACCCAAGTTTTTATTGTTTTTTTTTCAGGTCAAAATTTTTATTTACTTTAATTCAATTAACTTTGTGAAATAAACTATCATCTTAATAAGTATATGTGCATTGATGTAACTCATAATGTCATTGAATAAGAAAAAGAGAATTCAGCGAAGAAAATTTTCCTTTCGACGAAATCATTTACATAAGCTGTACATCCTATAGACATATATTTTCCATATAACTATATATACGAATGTACAGCTCAAGTAAATGATTTCGTCGAAAAGAAAATTTTCTTCGCTGAATTCTCTTTTTCTTGTATTGATGTATTTCTCTTCCAAATTGGAACTTTAAGTGAATTAAATAATCTAATTCTTATAGGATAATTTATTTTTCAATGGACTTTTTTACGAATCTTTAATATTCTCTAAATACTTGGATAGTAATATCATAGTTTTCAAGTTCTCAGTATAGTAAGTGATCTTTGTATTTCTCATTATAATTTGCTAGTGTTTTATACTATATCGTAATTTGTTCTACTCTTTGTACTGTACTAACAAAACTAGTGTTATTACCTTCAAATTGTATTTAAGTCAGAATTTATTTTGTGTTAAATACTGTTGGTCTATGTGGTTTAGCTTTTGTTGTTGTTGTTATTTAGATATCGTTCTTAGAGAATAATTGTTTAGGAAGTTTATTTTCATTTTACCTTTAAAATTCCCATACTAAGTTAATAAAATGAGTTCGTATAATTAACCTTGGTAGTAATTTAATGTTAAATTTCTGTGTTTTAAAGTGAATTTCAGTTGAGTTCTTTCTTCTCTGTGACTGACTGTTTTTCGTAAGCTTTTACAATTGATCAATTGTGCTCTATTGCAAATCTCATATTGTTTATATGGAGTACTCATTTGACATGCAAGGTATCATTAGAATTTTTTATATGATTACAATAGTCGAACAATAGTATTACTACTTATGATAATCATCTTAATAATAATGGCAAACCGAATGAATTTCACAAATAAAGTGACTTACTAATACAACTTTTCACATAACTTTCGAGTACGGTAGTAGTAGTCTCTTCAAAAAATTATATCAATATTTTAGTGATCATCGATCAGTATTATAATAAATTCAATTGAAAATACATTGAACCTTGTGTTTTTCTAGAAAATGTTTACAATTATTTAACCATTATTCTAGTTTGGTCATTTCTTGAGAATGCTGGGTTATACTTCAATTGTAATTGAATTGAGTCGAGTTCGCGTGACTGTGAATACTACTACCATTTTTTTAAATTTTCTTTAATTTTTTCCATCTTCAAAAATCCATTTCTGTTTAGGTGTATGATCGTTTTCTAGCATATCATTTTCTTAATTATGTTTTTTGATTTAAGTGCTTGTACAAAGCATAGTACTACACAAAATCGCCAAACTTCAGTTATCTGTCAGAATACGGAGTTATGGTCGTCAGGTTCTTTCAATGCTTTAACTAGTGAATGGTCTACAACTCGGATTGAAATACAAGATCCTACAGTATCTTCCGATTCAAGTTACAAGGTGTGTGTGTTTGTGAATTGTTCAGTAACGTATCATATAAATGGTTATTGTCAGTTATTATAAACCATATCCTGTCAAATTATGAATCCGGTAATGTAAACATTTTATATAACTTTGAATAATAGACTAGTAAGGTTATGTTTCTGTGTTCTTTTGTAAACTTAGTGACTCAAATAATTACTTACAGCCTTAAAAAAGGGAAATTCGTCCATTCTCATTTTCTCACTGGCAATCAAACATATGTTGACTGTGAGTCTGACTGATTTTATTTCACTAACTTTGGTGTGTTTAATGGATTTTCTTGAGTTTCTGGATATTCAGCAAATTTTGGGATTGCTCTATTGATTGGTTGTATGTGTACATGATTGAGATAATACCTTTTCTTTCCTAAACTTTATTTATGACTACTTTTTACTTCAATACTTTTTATCCCTTATGGCTAATTAATAAATATATATTTTACCGAATTAATTTTTTAAGTGCATGCATCAAGCATGGTAATTCACAAAATCGTCAAACTTCGGTAACATGTCAGAATACAGAATTATGGTCTTCAGAATCTTTGAGTAAAATTTTCGAAAAGTGGTCAACAGCTAGAGTTGATTTACAAGAGTTTTCATCTACTCCTGATTCAAGTTACAAGGTGCGTATGTACGTGATCATTTTTAATCAGCTTTGGTCAGTGGTAAAGCCCATATCTTTATTTTTAACATTATTTTCATTGAAGTAAAAAAAATTACTCCGTACTGGTGAGTACTAGTTTAGTAGTTTTATTTCAATTACAGGCAACCGAATTCACTAGTTAATACAAGAAATTATAATAGCGGGCTAATGACTATATGGGAAACGTTACATTTACTCATTTATTCACCTAATAACTGTTCTGATTGCTTGTGTTCTGTTAAAAGTTATGCTTGACATCCTTCTTGTGATTTATATTTGCTTGTTTCTCTATTCGCAACTTTCTCTTTTTCCTTGCTTTTACTTCTTTTAAATTACGATTTTTCTTCTAGGCTCTTGAATTAATCTGTTGAAAAGTAACCTGTATTTATAATTTTCTCTTTTCTAAAGTTCCTGTGTTAAACAAAATACTTATGAACGTGGAGAATCTGCTGTTTTATGCAAAAATCATGATTTATGGTCATCAAATGAAGATGATAATGCGCGTATATATCGTTCAAATGTATGGTCTGTTGCTAAGATTGATTTACATGAAAATCAACAACGTGATACTATCATTTCAACAGATTCAAGTTATAAGGTGTGAAGGTGTATTTGTGTGTGTGTGTGTGTGTAAATTATCTTATAACACACACTGATCGTTTCATTTCTATAGCTTCTCTCTATCAATCGAAGGGAGAATTAACTCATTAATGGAGCCTACTTGTCGTTTACGTTTCACGTCATCTAAATATGTTTTTCGTCTTAACTACCAAAGACATTCAACTTCTTCAGAAATCTAATATATGCACACCTATTGATAATTCATGTAATAAAATATCCTCAGTATTATCTCACAGTATATATCATTTGAATAAAAATTAATATTTTTTTATTCGTATCTTTTAAGTCTGTTCATTTTTTGTCTCAATTTATTTTTTTACTTACGGAGAAGTATTTTAGAAAGTGTGATGTAATTTGTCTGCCTCGTTACTTACGCAATCTGTCGTTAATGTTTCTACTTGCAGCATTTATTCATATTTGTAAGCACACTAACTATACATAAACTGATGAAAGTTTAGTGTTCGTCATTTATATAGAATCAATGTTTTTAAATGAAGGATTTTGTTTTTCTCGGAAAAAAATATTACGTTAACATGATTTTTTAAAATCCATAGAATAAAACCACAAATCTGTGAAGTTTGAAATTCTATACTTTACTTGTACAAGTGTGATTTCTCACTGTTTGCATGAAGTTATGACATCTATAGTTATTTCCTATTTGAGTAGATTACTTTTTAAAAATACTTTTGATTTTGTTTGTCTCCCATATTTTGTGTTATCGCTTAGTTTTAATTATGATGTATGGACAAAATGAGATTGTTTGTGAAAGTTATTTGAATGTATGTACTTGCACTTATTATTTCTTCATTTGATTCTATAAATTACTTAATTTATCCTCAATTTTTTTCGACTTATAAGCAGTATGTCTATAATTTTGATAGCTTTTCGTTTTAAAAATAAATAAATTTTTATTTACTTTACAAGATCATGCATAAAGCATAGTACTCAAGAATTTGGTAAATCATCGGTCACATGCGAAAATGTTGATCTATGGTCATCAAAATATGCGTCGAACAATGTTATATCGAATGATGTATTATGGTCTGTTGCGAAAATTGATTTATCCACTTCTTCCATATCATCTGACATAAGTTATAAAGTGCGTACTAATCAACATTTGTGTTATTTTGTTTAAATATATATTTCGTTATAATTGATAATAACGATGATAATAATAATAATAGAAGTGTTGGAATTAAAGAGAAACGAGTTTTCATCAAACATATATTTATTGATAATTTCTCTAATTCACACACAATGTGGGACTATCGGGAAACTTTGTTTTCATTTCTTATTCTTTCAGTGTTGGAAATTTATTTCGTTTGTGACACTTGAAATGAATTTTATTTATAGAGATACTTCTTGGACATGTTGTTTTGTCCAAATCCACTTGTATTTGGTTGCATGAATTCTTTTTTTTTCTTTAAAAAAGTACACTTAATAAATAAAATTCTCACCAATTGTGTATAGTCAAATATCATAAACGAACGTTTCATAGTCAATATTCCAAATAGTTCTAAGATGTATCGCAATTGTGATTAAAACATTAACACTCACTTATACAGTAGTGCGATACAGATTATACATCCTCGTACATCTAGTTTCTAGGTTTCAATGCATTTATTATTAGTAGTATTTTGAGTTGTTAACCTGTTTGATATATTTGTAAAATTAATTACACTCGGGTTATATATATATATATATATATATATATATATATATATATATGAATAAACATTTTTTATTACAAAACATTGGTCATAGTTTTCATTATGTCTCATATAGTTCAGATAAAAATGAATGCTTAAACCATCATAGTTCACCACATAAATATGTATTAAGATATTTATTCATATTATACTTCTTTTTATTGATTAACTTTGAGGTGAAACCATGATAATTGTGCCTTTCTGTGAACAGTGATCATAATTTATTGTTAAATAGATTTGAATTAAAATTCAATTGTAGTTGTTGTGCTGTATCAC